CTCTTAACCCCTTCCCCGGCAGAAACATGTATACACGTTTTCACAAAATGTTCTTTTTTCAGTCGTCGACGAGTATACTCGTCTAAAACTTTACCTTCAAAAACCAGCTACATACGTACCATTCTAAATAATTTCATCTAGAAACTTTCTGAGGAAATACTATTCTTAACCACAAAAATGGGAAGAAAAAATAATTACAAACTGTTTTCATAACCAGCATCAAAAATACTATATAGAACCAAAATAAAAAAATTAGTCTGAAAAAGAAACGTTTTTAACAAAAAAATTGTTGGGGAAGGGGTTAAAGCTGTATAATATCTGATATACAACTTCAGACTTTTCAAAAACATAAAATCCTCTTAAATGCTTTGCACTGTTTTGAATTTTAACGTTTAATAATTTTGATTATAAGTGTGGGAGAGACAGAGTAATCTCCTGAGTAGTGAGTGGCAAAATTTTTTTTGATAGATGAAACATTGCCTGCTAGCTTACTCTGCTATATGATTAGATTAGCACTCCTGTGTGTAGTTTTGTTTACCTACAATTTGATAAATAATTTGAAAACTATACATAGTATATTTCTATCCAAAGTATGTTATAATACTTGCTCTGACTCTGTTAAATATTCCTTAGTCTAGTGGAATTATTGTCCCTTTTTTTCATACCACTTTTCTTCATTCTGTGTGGAAGACCATGTTCCAGTCTTAAAACATTAGACTTATAGAATATTTGTTTTAGAATAATTAAGATACAAATTAGGACTGAAGACTTCCTAATGATTATGTTTTTTATTGATAGAACAAAAATAAAACAGCCTGGTTCATTAGAGATTAGGGAGGTTCTTTGGTGGAACCTCGTTCTTTCACTTCCAGACCCTGAAGAAAAGTGGTTAGACGCCTTGCTCGTTCTGTTCTCCTACTACGTTCCTTGTTTATGGTACATTTTATCCTTCTGTCGCCCTATATATAGGATAGCTCTGTGGTTTCCAACTTTTTGGTGTGAAAGTACTATCCATTTCATAATTAGTAACTTGACAATTTCGAGGTCTATGGTTGAGAAAGTAAACTAAAAACAATTTACAGACTTTGAGTAGTGGATGAAACTTTTTTCCAAATGAATATTTATATGGAACCCAATACATAAAGACATATTAATACAGTATTTTATTAGTATTTATTTATTTAAAAGTTTTTACTGATTTGAGGGAGAGAGGAAGGAAGGGTGGGAGGAGAAAGAGCGAAACAAGATGTGAGAGACATCAATTGACTGCCTCCTGCACTCCCTACTGGGCATTGAGCCGAACTGGGGTGGGGGATGTGCCCTCTAGGGGAATCTAGCCATGACCTTTTGGTGCATGGGAGGATGCTCAACCAACGGAGCCACACTGGCCAGGGCAGTATTTATTTTTATAAGCTGAAAACATTTTTTATAAAATCAACCAAGAACAGTAAAGCTTTTAGAAGAATTTAAATTTGAAGTAGGGTTTGTTTTATCATTCTGTTTTCTTAATTCTGTTTTGGCTGCTTAGTCATGAAAATGTGACTTGCAGATACGTACAGCTTGTCTTTCAGACTCCATATATACTTTAGTTGTACTGATGGAGAGCTATAAAAGAGTATTTCTAGTATAGACATTTTGTTTGAAAGACACCATTACTTAATTATCTTTACTTCATATCACAAATGCAAAAGTGACCAGCCCCTCAAACTTAAACAACAAAACTTAATATTGTTTCATGTTAGCTCTTTAATTTGGAACCAGCCACCTGGCTCCTCCCCTAGGAGAGGAGAGCATGAGTCTTCTTGGAAGGTGTTTAATTGGGAAAAGCATAAAATATGTGACTGCAGACTAATTTTAAATGAATGGACATGTGGAAGCCTAAATTAGGGTTGGGAAACGCGAGTGCAGAGCTGCAACTTTACTAATCAATGTCTTCATAGGAATTGGACATTATATTTTAATTTTTGTTTGTGGCAACAATAAGTTATATTTGATTTCACATTATGCACCCATATCCTCTTCAGGTCCCTGTTTTCAACTCTTATTTAAAGTTAGACATTTTAGTAGCTTAGAAATCATTTCAGAGCAGGGGGGAAAAAGAGAAGGACCCAAAGTTGGCCAGAAAAATCCACAACACAAATGAATTTCCTCACAGATAGCTGAAAAGAAGACTGCAAATAAAGCTGTCCCTATCCATGTGACCTCAGGATGAATTAGAAATTCAACAATTAACCTCAGAATAAAATAAAAATATTCCAGGTCACAAACATACTCTTTCCATTCCAGAGACATTCAAGCTTTCCTCCCTATATACCAGGGGTAGGGAACCTTTTTTTTTTGCCAAGGGTCATTTGGATGTTTATAACATCATTTGAGGACCATACAAAATTATCAACTTAAGAATTTAGCCTGCTGTATTTTTGGCAGGGCTAGATCAATTGATTATAAGACCCTTGGGCCGGACATTCCCTACTCCTGATACATACTCTAGATCAGTGTTTCTCAAACATTTGCTCTTAAGGACTCTTTTGCTTTCTTAAATATTGAGAAATATGAATTATATATCAGTAAAAAATGTTTAAAAAGTTACTGAAGAATCCAGAGCTTTTGTTTTATTTTTTTGTTAATCCTCACCCAAGGACATTTTTTCCATTGATTTTTAGAGAGAATGGGAAGAAAGGGTTGGGAGAGAGAGAAACATTGATGTGAGAGAGACACATTGATTGATTGTCTCCTCCATGTGCCCCAAGTGGACCAGGGATCAAACCTGCAACCCTGGTACATGCTATTGACCGGGAATGGGAATCCTCCACCTTTTGGTGCGGAGGCCAATGCTCCATCCACAGAACCACACCAGCCAGAGCCTAAAGAGTATTTTTTAAAATGTAAAATAACTTTTCCAGGTAAAGAAATAGAAGTGACATTGTTTTATTTTTAATTTCTTCATTGTCTGGCTTAACCATTTGGCTGCTGACGTATTTTTTCGGACATATGCCAAAACTGCGGCACTAATTGCACGTGTATGGGAAAAAATGTAAAACACTTTTTATACAATAAACTCACTTGTATTGCTTTGCAACAACAAAAATTAAAAAATACCAGTTGTTTACATAAATTTGTTTTAAATAAGAAGAGCGCGATAGCGCTCCTTAGCAGTCAAACGGTTAACAGCTAGTTCTCATCCATGCCTCTTGCAATGAATTAGTTTGGTTGAACTTTGTGATGAAAATCTGGCCTCATACAGATACTTAGTGGAAAAGGAAGGAGTATTTTTTTAAAAATACATTTTTATTGATTTCAGAGAGGAAGGGAGAGAGAGATAGAAACATCAATGTGGGAGAGAATCATTGATTGGCTGCCTCCTGCACACTCCTACTGGGGATTGAGCCCACAACCCAGGCATGTGCCCTGACTGGGAATTGAATCCTGATCATGGTCGATGCACAACCACTGAGCAACACATGGCCAGGATAAGACTATTTTTGTAACTGAAGCATCATGCAAGAATATTTTGCTAGTTCTTGGAGTGCATTTGTTGTTAGACACAAATCATTAAGCTTACTAAATAGGTTCAAGTTCAGTTTAATTCTTAGGTGTGAGCAAATAAGGTTAAAATGGTATTAGTGAATGTTTTTCATTTTAGAAGAATGTGTGCTGAAATAATTGTGATTGAAATATGTTTGCAACTTGCAGATGATTGAAAAAAACAAGTTACATATAGCCAGTATCAGACTGAGATACATTTTTTTGTGTCTGAAATTTTCTGTAATAAAATCTTGGGGTAGGGAAGCATACCCATTAATATAATACAATTTTTATAATTTACTGGTACTACATTGCAAACTGCTATAGATAGCTTTTGATGGGTTTAGTCTGAAAATTTCCATTGACTGTTCTGTAATTGAAGCTACTTCCATGTAGTTGTGTTGGGAAGATATATTTTTTTTTAAAGTGATTTGCTTTTAAAATGAAGGAGAAATTGTGTTACATTTCTTAAGATGTGAAATTTTAAGTACTTAAAATTACTCAATAACGTTTATTACTAATAGAATTTTTGGTAAATAAAAAGGTTACTAGCATGTCATACTTTGTTTAGTAAATAAAAAGTAAAGGGGATTGATTGGCATTTTCAATTTTTTTAGATAGATTAGATTAAAAGACATTTTATTTGGACTTTGGGTAAAACCAGAGAAATTTATTGCACCCAGTTTTCTCTCTTCTGCTTTTTTTTATTTAGAAGGGAAAATACAGCCAAATTTCCCAACCTATTTGAGATGGAAAGAGGTAGGATGTGATAGCAGTTATATTCTTAGATTAATAAAGACACAAGGATGTCGGGTCATCTAGTGGTTTGCAAAATTGTAAAGATAATCTTTTTTTTTTTTTAATATATGTTATTGATTTTTTACAGAGAGGAAGGGAGAGAGATAGAGAGTTAGAAACATCGATGAGAGAGAGACATCGATCAGCTGCCTCCTGCACATCTCCCACTGGGGATGTGTCCGCAACCCAGGTACATGCCCTTGACCGGAATCGAACCTGGGACCTTTCAGTCCGCAGGCCGACGCTCTATCCACTGAGCCAAACCGGTTTCGGCGTAAAGATAATCTTTTGATTCTGATATACGTATAGCTGGAAACTATTTATTCCTCCATTTTGCTTAGAACTATGGAAGGGATGAAAAGTGGTGACCTGTGTGCATATGTATGTGTGTGTGTGTTTGGTTTGTTTTTTTGTAGTGTATAGTATTGGGGAGTTCATGACTGCCAAAAGTTGCTTAAATTACCCCATGCATATCTGGTTTTGAGTACTAGCATTTTTTTTTTTTTTGCACTTTGATTTGTACTTTATTGCCAACTATATAATCTCAAGGAAATTATTTGTTACTTTCTAATGGAAAATACGGGTAGTATGCTTTGTATGGGCAGAATATCAAATGGTAACCTTAATTAAATATTTATAAGATCATATTCATGTTAGTGAATTTCTAGGAATAACACAGCCTTTTTTCTTCTTTTGTAGCATAAGCAGTACTATAATGGATGTAGACAGCACAATTTCCAGTGGGCGTTCAACTCCAGCAATGATGAATGGACAAGGAAGCACTACTTCTTCAAGCAAAAATATTGCCTATAATTGTTGTTGGGACCAGTGCCAGGCTTGCTTCAACTCTAGTCCAGATCTGGCAGATCACATCCGTTCCATACATGTAGATGGTCAGCGAGGAGGGGTTTGTTTTGTCATTTCTTTTTTTTACTCCCTGTGTTCATTAGTTTTATTAATTTATAATTGATAGGCTTTTTCCCCCCTCCAAGTAATTTGGGATTGTTTTTATACAGGCTTTATTTTTTCAGATTTTTTTTCTACCTTTTATTTGCACATTTCCACTTGATGCAATCAAATTAAATAGAACATATGATGTGTTCTTTGATTTGCTCTTAGGTATATTAGACTTTCTAAAGTATAGTTGGAATATTATAAATGAATACAGTGTATTCCAAAGTTCTGATATTTTCAGTTGAGGACATTTAGGAATTGACACTGTTTACGATTTCTGTTAGGGTGGTTCTAAATTATCCCTGATGCTGAAATTAACTGAAGAGACCATTGGTATCAGGATTAGTGTATACAATCCTATTAAATGAAAATCTGCATTTACTATTTGCGAATGATAACTGATCATTTTTCCCAGGTCTTATCAGAGCTGATTTAGATAAAAAGTTCTGATTAGTCAGTATTGACTTACATTCTTTCAGGAATACATTTATACATTTTTGTCAGTTCTTATAGTTTTTTTGTTTTTGTTTTTTTTAATATATCTATATTGATTTCAGAGAGGAAGGATGAGGGAGAGAGAGATAGAAACATCCATGATGAGAGAGAATCATGGATCGGCTGCCTTCTGCAAGTCCCCCCTGGGGATGGAGCCCACAGTCCAGGCACATACCCTTGACCTGAATTGAACCTGGGACCTTTCAGTTCGCAGGCCGACGCTTTATCCACTGAACCAAACTGGGTAGGGCAGTTCTGATAATTTTATTGGATAGTAAATAAAGAGCTGAGGTAATTAGGTGAGTCAAAATGGAATGGAGCAAAATCTTTATAATATTATAATATAATACAATATAATATATTATATTTCTATTTATACTATTTTCAGCTTTATCTAGGTTTGTCTTGAATAATTACCATGTTTAGTACATTTTCTAGGAATTAATGTTACATTGTAAATACTGATAGTTTATTAGGCCACACATTTTCCATCACCCTGCCATCACTGTTGAGATATACTAAAACGGTTAAGATCATTAGGGTTTAAGTGAGTATGCAGCTGTTTCCAAGATTATATTGATAATTAGGTTCTATTACTGATCTTTAACCAAAAAATATAATCATATAAGCACCCCTAACATATTTACCTGTGGTATTACATTTAAAAACTTCTTTTAAGAAGTATTTGCTGTTGTCACCATATGTTGTAATGTGTTAGCAGTCTTTTGAATACTCAACTTGATAAGCAAACATTTGTCTTATTAGATTTAATATATATGGTGTCTGGGTAGATACCAGATGGTGTATTAATGAACTGTTCATCCTATGGTTTTTCACTGTTTTACCATCTCAGTGGTTAGGCAACTTTGGTAACATGTTTCTCCCCACCATACCTGCCCCTCTCCAATCAGGTTTTTGGTGAGAATTTTCCTTTTTTTAAAAAATAATTTTTTTTTAATTGATTTCAGGAAAGAAGGGAGCGGGATAGAGAGAAAGAGAGAGACAAAAACATCAATGATGAGAGAGAATCTTTGATTGGCTTCCTCTTGCAAGCCCTAAACTTGGGATTGAGCCCATAATCCGGGCATGTGCCCTGACCAGGAATCGAATCATGATCTGGTTCATAGGTCGACACTCAACCACTGAGTCATGCTGGCTGGGCTGAGAATTTTCTTAACCAAGTTGATTTCCTAGTCATTACTGAGTTGCCTTTTGCGAGTCAGTGCTTGATGTCACTTGGTATATATCACTACAGTAGTCTTTTGAGCCATGGCATGATGCTTTTTAGTAACTTGACTTAGCAGCTATGTAAAGGATTCCGAGCTATGTAGAAGATCCCTGGGTTTCTCTTAGTAAATGTGGAAGAATTTCACATTTCTAACTCTTGGGTTTTACAAGTTGAGTTGGCACACAGCCTTATGAGAATGTTTTCAGCTCTTTACAGATTTGTAGAAAAAATGTGACTTATAGATTGAATGTATCATGTAGTCACTGCAACTACATGCACCTTATTTATTTTTTAATATATATATTTTTATTAATTTCAGAAAGGGAGAGGGAGAGAGAGATAGAAACTCCTATGATGAGAGAGAATCATTGATTGGCTGCCTCCTGCACGCCCCCTCCTGGGGATTGAGCCCACAACTGGGACATGTGCCCTTAGCGGGAATCAAACCCGGGACCCTCCAGTCTGCAGGCTGATGCTTTATCCACTGAGCCAAACCAGCTAGGGATACATGTACCTTATTGATATTATAGAGCTAGACATGAAATCTTGTTAATTTCTATAATAAGTATAAATTTGTTGAAATGAAAACCTCTATGTCATTTCTTGAATCCTTATTCATAAAATTACTTTGTTAAAAATAATGATCCTCTGGCTAATTTTAAGAGTAATCTTATTATATATATATAATATAATATAATATAATAAATATATGCATAAAATATATAAAACATCCTATCTAATAAAAGACAAAAAGGGTAATTGACCGTACCTTCGCTGCCCTTCCCATTGGCTAATCAGGGTGATATGCAAATTAACCACCGTCACTATGACACACACCAGGGGGCAGACGCTCAATACAGGAGCTGCCCCCTGGTAGTCAGTGCGCTTCCACAGGGGGATCGCTGCTCAGCCAGAAGCCGGGTTCATGGCTGGCAAGCATAGTGGTGGCAGCGGGAGCCTCTCCTGCATTTGCTGCAGTGCTAAGGATGTCTGACTGCTGGCTTAGGCCTGCTCCCCACGGGGAATGGGCCTAAGCTGTCAGTGAGACATTCCCCAAGGGCTCCCGGAGTGCAAGAAGGCATAGGCCAGGCTGAGGGATTTCTCCCCTCCTCCCCCCCTCCCCCCCCCCGCAGACC